ACTAGCAGCAATTTGGTACACGTATATTAATATATTGTATTAATACTTATAATATTGTAGTCGATTATTTACACCTATCGGGAAGTTCATACAACTTGTCTTAAAGCAAAATGCCACTTACCCTTAGTTGCAATTTATTTATTTATCTTTTTATTTAAATTTATATTATATGAAAAATTATATACAATTTATTAATTTATTTTTCCCTTTTTAGCCAATTGATCAATCTCCTAACAAAGAAGTTTTCAAAAATATTGATCCGAAAGTAGTGGTAAAAATACTACAAGAACATTATGAAAAAGGTGGAAACGGCAAACCTTTAATTCTTCAAGCACCAGATTCAATAGAAGTAAATGAAAAATTAAAAATAACAGAAACGCAACCGCCGCCCATTACTGTAAATGTACAAATTCCGAAGGAGCCTGAATACATCGTGGGTAAACCTAATCAGAAACAAAAACCTATTGTTTCAAATGAGCCATTCATTCTTTCATCACATAACGATTATGGCCGTACAAATGCAAAACCTACTTTAGAAGTTCTAAAGTTATTGGAACCCATAATATATAAACCAGTTGAGGAGAAACCATACGTGCCACCACCTCCTGATGTAGTTGATGCAGAAGGATATATTTTGTTAAAGATGCCTGATGGTACAATTAGAAAGTCGTATCTACTATCAAAGGACAATAACTATGGAATTGTAAAAAATCTAAACAATGCTCCCGTCGAAAATAAAGAACCAAATCCAACGGTGGAAAATGAACTACCAGATCTAGACACTGCCCCATTTACTTACGCCCACACTGAACCAGCAAGCACTAATTATGATTTTGCAAATATAAAAGTCGAAGATGGGGCGTTGGGTCTTGTAGGTTCGGCAAATGTTGCTGTGCAACCGTTAGCTGTAGGCCATATTACGGACGTCTTACCTGATGTTGAAGTATCGGCCGAGGTAGATTTATTGCCTGATCCTTCAGTAACACCAACTGATTTTATGTCGACGCTGGGGCAAATTGCCAACATAACTCAATCAGACCTGGCGCTAATACAAGGGCTATACATTGGAATTAAAGCCGCAAACGCATTATCAAATTTAAATACTGGTGCTAAACTCGAAGTTTCTAATCAAGAAACAACAACTGATATATTGTCTAATATAAATACATTGGCCAATACTGTTGCATCCACAGCAAACATTGATTTGGTTGATCATGTTGTTGCAGACCCAGTTCCTGATATAGATATAGCCTTGAATATTGGACAACAAAACTCTGGAGACATTACTCCACTTACGGTCATCGACGATTTAACGAATTTAGGTTCAGCGTTGAACATAAATGCAGAAGTGCAAACTTCACCTATCACACATGCTATTGATCCTCTATTAGATGTACACTTGCCCAGTTCTTTGCCTACTGCAAATGTAGACGTTGACATATCTACGTCAGTCATTGATTCTGAGCATCCAGCAACAGATTTAATTGAAATTACAAATCCCATCGACCTTGTAAATGATGATCTAATTGGCAATATACAAGATACCATAAATCCTACATTAGAAACTGTATCTGATATTTTAAGTACCGACATACATCCAGAAGCAATTATTGAAGTTCTAGAATCAGATATTTCGAACACGGAAGGTATCGAAAATCCAGGCTTATATGCACATTTGAACATAGATCAAAATATAGCAGAAACAACAACCAATTTTGATGACTGTGACTGTACCAGCGCTCAAGATGATGAAAATGAAAATACAAGCGCGACTATTGATGCAAGAATTGATATCACTAAATTAAATACATTATTAGATGACGTAACGGAAGCTCTGGATTGCGACACCGATGAAGAAGCTTTGGTAGAAGAAGTTTCAGATTTATATTCTTTAGGAATGCAGCCACGGTATACAACAATTCAAGTACGGGACTTCGATAATACTGTTTCTACTATTAATAATTTTGTGGATGATGATTCAACGCCAGACAGTATTCCTGCATTTGACAATAAAGTATTGGGAGAATATATTATTTCAACACTGTATCCAAACGTTGTTACCGATGAAATCACAAATAATAATTTATTTCAATCATTGAACACTTTGAACCCAACAATACAACAGCAAGAAATAAATCCAATTACAGAAGGGCAAATTTATAATATAAGAATTCCTCAAACTGTACACCATCAGAAAAAAATAATCAAATCAACAAATGCAGATAAAATCACATCTATTAAACCTAATCCTTTATTACAGAATGCCGTTAGTATTGATACGCTAGATCTATTGAGCACGATATATACACCGCTCAAGTTGGCAAATGGTTTAGAAGTATTTGATCCTGATGACGAAGAAACGTTTGCACTAGAATTATCCGTAAATAATCCAGAAAATGGAAATATTTTGAAACAACCAATTCCTACATTAAATACTGCAGCCAATATCGATTTACTAAATCCTATCACATTAAATGTAGCTGCAGATGTAGACACCTCAAAAATTTTGAACACAAAACTTATTCCTACCGATGCCTCACTAATCAACCTAGATCCAGATTTAGATTTAAGTGCAGATATTGTTGCAAGTTTAGGACCAAATGCATTTGTAGGAGATTTTATAAATGCTGAAAAAATTCCAATTCCTGAAACATCTAAATGGAGAGAGATACCAACTAATTATCATTCTACTTTGAGTACAAATAGTATACCAAATTCAGTAAGTCCATTTCTGCACAAGTCAACCGCTGACAACTATTTACAAGCTACTACAGCCGTCCCAAACTTAATTAAAACGTCTGAAATCATTGAAACAGTTACACCTAGTTTGGATAACAGTGATCTTGCAAACGTTGATATTTCAGCATTAGGATTGATTAATGCTGGTGTTAATCTGGATTTGCTAACAAGTGTAAACCCATTGGAAATAAATTTAGAACAAGAAACTGATCCAATTTACAAAATACTGCCAGGAAGACACCCAACTTCTTTTGAACCTTCACGGAAAACAACCAAAGTTATCACTAGTATTAAACCTACAACTTATATAACACATATAGATCCTTCAAGTATAAGTCCCAATGTGATGAAATCAACCTTTCATCCTTCAGGTATGGTTTCTAGTATTGATCCTAATGATGCTCTTTTAAATATCAAACTAAATGCGCTAGACAATGGTAATAATCTAAATCGACCAAATATCGATACGCCCAACATTGTAGGAATAAACTTAGATTTAGCGGATAATTCTAATCCTTTATCTAAATCAAGATGGCATAACGGGTTTTATGATGTAAACTTAAATACTGATATATCGTCTCCTTTATCTGATGTGGGTGACATTGCAAATATAAATATAGAAGCATTTCAGTCAGTTTTCGAACCCACAGAAGTTTTTTCTACTATTGTACCGGTAGATCAAACTGCAAATAGAGAGCCCTTCACGGATAATATGAGACATGTTGGAAATCTGGCAAATCTAAATATAGCATTGAATTTGAACGAGATCACAAGCAATGGAAAAACCGGCGAAGCTACACACAACATGCCATCAGTGAGGCCTGCAATAAAGGTAAATAAAATAAAGTCGACATTTGAAAACATAGCTCAACCAGAAGAAATATTAACAACTAATCATTTTATTACGACAGAACTTCCAGGAAATACTGCTGTAAACATTATGGACAAGGATCTCATATTTGGTAAAAAGATAATGGATAACACCAAAGAATTCTTCGAACAAAAGCTGCTTAATAATGAACCAATATTAGAAGCAAATTATAAAAACGATTTAGAAATTATGTTGCCAACACACACCAACATAGAAAACAATTATGGAACCACTGTGATAGATGGAAAATTAGGTGTCACCAACAGTGATAATTTTAATCTAGGAAAATACCAAAGTACAACCCTGCCTAACTCCAAGGTTTCGAGCGCCATATGTCCAATTCAGGATATTTTACAATCTATAGAAAATGGTCAGCATTCTACCTATATGGAACAAAAACCTAAATCATGTAGGCATATTGATGAGACTGCTGTGAAAGGCAATTTATACTTTATCGGCGATGGAATGAAAATACCTATATCGATGACGCTAAATGAATATGGTAATATTGATTTAACATTGGATATGGTAAACGTTTGTGATGATAAATCCAAATTAAAAATAGAATCTCAGAATAATTGCGATCCAAGTAAATGCCTCTCATAATAGCAGACATAAAACCATCGACTAATATTATTTAAGAATTATAATATAGGAGATACTAATTTAATATTTACTTAATAAAAATGTATATATATATATATATATATATATATATATATGTATATATATCTGATTAATTGATTGCAATCTTAGTTTATGTTTCTTAGAATGACAAATTGTTGACTATGATATTTAAAAATTTCAGTTATACATACTTATTTAACGCATATATAATTTTATATATATATATATATATATATATATATGCCTCTTGTGTATGTCATTATAAATGTTCTGTATATAGTATTATTAATTATAGTTACATTTATATATATTTAACTTGAAAAATAAATAAGTTTAAAATAATAAATATTGTATTTAAAAAAAAATCATTTGTGTTAAAATTTACATAAAATTATGTATGTGATATTTTCAGATATTTACAATATCAGAAATAAAAATCTCACATTTGATACCTCAACTTCTATTAGTAAAAGATTTTATTATTTTATATATATATATATATATATATATATATATAATATATAATATTAATATATATATATATATATATATATATATATATATATAATAATATATATATATATTCCTTTAAATATTCTACTATTTTCAATTTTAATTATAAAAAGTAATAAAGCATACGAACAAATTTCAATAATACTAGATAACAAAATAAAACATATTTTAAAAACAATGATCACAGTTCAAAGAAATAGAATAATTTCTTCATAAAAATAATTACCTATGCAACCAAGATATATAAAAATTACGAAATGACTAATTTCATTAACAACGCTTCTAAAACGCATGCGCCGGCTTCTTTCGTAACCAAATCCTGTTCTACAGAAGAACATGAAGATATGGATCCTGGACGAACTCGAACCTCAAAAGCCGTTGATATAGTATAAGTTTTGTTGCACATAGGAACACTAGAAAATACAGATATTGATCAATCCATGTTTATAATGAGTAAAAAATACTTAATACTTACTCATGAGTATTACGTAACCGCACTTCTAAATTTTCTTTTAATATCAATTTATTGCCTGTTGTCACACCCTTTTCAGAGAACACATGCGCATCATTAGAAGTTGGCAATGGTTGACCAAGATCTAATACTGCTCTAATTCTATCTACCTTGGTATCATAAAATGCTAATCTCCAATCTGCACAACTTGTTGATTTAGGTTTCAATTTAAAACGCACCCAGTCGCGATACCTATTGTTGTTGTTGCCACAATTAGAACAACAATAGCATTTGGGATAATCTGATGAGAAAAATGCTTCTGGTAATACAAGAGAATTTTTAAAATTTATTACACTCTGAAGATATGGACAATCTCGATCTCTAGTTGGACTTTCATCAATTTGCGATAGAGATGATGAACTAGGAAGTACATGAGCCATACTTGAAATGTCATTACATATGATATTTTCGTCATTGTAACTGCTCGTGATATTTAATGAATCTGGTGGGCTCAAATATGAAGCATTATTATTTTCATTAGATGGGATGTTATGACTAGATTGACTTCGTTGAATATTTATGTTCGTATTATGCTGTATCAAAAGGTTATCTTGCATATATTCAGAAATACCATCCATAGAAGTGCGGGATTGTATATTCAAATTTTCCACATGATTATGACTATAAACTGGATGATTGCTATCCATATATTCACTATAAGAATTTTCCATACGTTGAATTTCAATATTTATATTCTCATTTTCGCTCGTTGTCATGCAAGGTTTAGTAGCATTTTGAATTTCAAGATTTTTCAAAAAATTTTGAGAAACATTATCGTCTAAATTATCAATATCACATAAAGCAGCAGGACCACCTCGTGAGGTGCTGGGCATAGGTTCTAATTCGGATGTGTAATATGTCGAACTAGATTCTTTTTCATGTAATTCTAAATCAGCTTTCTCTTGCAAACTAGTCGATGGCTCAATTGTTATAAGATTCTCGGTGATAACATCATCTGTGACATGATTTTGCCTTGAATGCGAAAAGCTTTCAATATCATCAATTTCCAAACTTTGGTCAAGTCTTTCGGAATGCGATGTTACTATGGACACCTAAAATAATTATTGTATATTTAGTATAATAGCTTTCTGAGAAACCAAAGTAAAAACAATAATTTCATTCAGCAATTTATTTCGATTTACCTTTTCACAAGATCCATAAACGTCTATAATTGGAATTCCTTGTTGTGGCAGATCGGTAGCCATCACTCCCAAATCACTATTTCCGACAATTACACTAAACGAACCCGAATTTGACAACGATAAAGTTATAATGGTTCCAACTTTGATACTAGATAAAGCGCTACCATATTTTGATTTGATCTGAAAGCGAAACATTTAAACTAAAATATTGCAATAGACGACATAATAAATAAAATTTTAATAAAATTTACTCGAGTTGGCTTTCAAATCAGAAATAAATAAAAATTTACATTTAATTAATAATTAAAATTATTAACATTAATATAAAATAAAATATTTTATTGAATGTATTTTAACAATACATTAAGAACTGTTCGATACAAGCATAGATATAGAGACACAAAAACAATATCTGTATTTCCCAAAATATGATTTTATTCATTTATTGATTTAATTTATAACCCAGCATTCAATTAATTGCGAAGAAACGGTACGATTCCCAACTAATATCATTCACAGTTTCTCACAGTTTTGAATATTCTAAATCAATTCAGAATTTTTGGCTGCAATGCAAACAAAAGATTTTACATTGTAAAAAAACGGCTCGGCCGATAGTCGCGGAGAACTACTCAACGCGATTCCTTATCAAGTTTCATCAAACAGCTTATAAATTTTTAAAATCGGTAAAAGATCAAAAATATGCACACACAAACAGACATACTTTTATCAATTTTGGATTTCAAACGATTCATATGTGGGAGTAATAATGCTGAAACGTCACCAAAACACAAAATTAGCACATTGAATTTTTTGGCAAAAACATATACAGTAGTAAGTACTTCTCCTTTGAAAAAAAAAACTATATTCAGTTTCAAGCAAACTTTTACTTGTTAAAAATTAAAAAAAATAAAATTGAAACAATTTTTTTCCAAGAGCAATTATTTTGTTAAAACAAGCAGAAAGTTCTTTGAATCATTCAAATCGTACGCTTAAAAACTGCCATTTTTTGCACAATTAGCTCTGTATCTTCGAAATGACTGGACCTGCCTTTCCCAAAAAGTAATCACCCCTTCTCCCAATCATTACAAATTGAATATTTTTTAGATCATTCAAATCGGATACTCCATTCTCTCAAAAACTCGATTTCTATTTTCTGCACTCTTTGCTCTTTATCTCCGTAACGGCTGGACCTGCCTTTGCCAAAAACTCCCTATCAATAGGAATCAAATGTTTTTTGAATCATTCAAATCGGTTGATTCGTGCGCCCGAAACGCGAACAAGAAAATGCGGACACACAAAACACACACACACACATCGATTTTTTCTGAGGTATGCCAAAATGTTCGGAAACCTTCAAAACGAGGAGAAATGCAAAAATTTTGATTACCGATTTTCGGCCGATTACTACAACTAAAAGAACTTTTGAAAATATTTAATTAATATGATAAATACCTTAGTGCCCTGCACACATAAATAGTCACTCGCTACAACCCAAATGGGACCTTTCATCGCAAAAGCTGTTGATGGAAGTGGTATAGATTTGATTTGCTCTAAAGTCATGGACATAATTCCAACAACAATGCTTCCACTCCAGTTTTCTTTGAGAGAATCAATACGAATCTGAAACAAATATGTTAAATTGTAGAAAATAATGGATTATGTTTTAATATATTTTAAATATATATTCAGCTGAAAAAAGCAAATTATACTTATAGAACAATCACAAAATTAAACATAAAAAAATTACTAATAAGTAATATTAAAAACTGCTAAATAAATATTTAGCAATTTTTTTAAATGGAGTTTATTACTGTAAATGCCTAGTTATATTATAAGTAATATAACAAATCATTTACTATAATAAACTCCATTAAACTGAACATATTTTAAGAGTAGTATAAGTTTTTTTCTCATTGGATATTCATTGCAATAACGCAATGCTCAATATTTTTCCCAACAGATAGCAACAGAATTTGCTATGACAGTTGAATTAATTTTCTAAATAACTTTTATGCAGTGCTTTTCTAATACACAAAGAAAATATTGCATTCTATAAAATACAAAAACAAACAATTAAATTTACTTACCATAATCTGCTGTCCGCGTATTAAAGGTTTGTTAGTAAATACAATACCATTATTGTACGATTTAATTCTGCGAGCAATTTTCTTGCAAGAATTCAATTTGATATTCTTTCCAAAGTAATCACAGAATTCAAAATTGGGGCTGTCAACCTCAAGAGATTCTGAAAAGTTTTGTTAATTTTATAACTGTATACAAATATTAAATGCCCAACATTAATAAATATTTGTGGAAGAAAACATATAAACCATCTTCAAAATCAAATTAGTAATTTCAAAATAGTATTTTTCTATATAGATTTCAAGAAGTTACCTAACATAGAGTCATGTTTATTCACATGATCCATAGCAAAATCTAAAGAATCTTGCAATCTCAAAGCGCAAGGACGTAAAGGCGACTTAGGGCCTTGTAAAGATGTTATTTGTATACTAGATACAGAGCCTGATAACTCAATTACAACCCAAACCATCTGAAAAAAGATAAAAAATATAAGAAGCATTATAATAGCTTGCAATATTAAAATAGATAAATAATTGTGTGTATAAAATATTATTTATCAAGAATACTTGCCTCAGGAATTTGCTTGAATAGTACGCCAATTTCATCAGAATTTATAAATAACTTAATACTTCTAGTGGAAGTCAATTCTAAAGCTACTCTGTCACCAGTTCTCAACCAGTGTAATGATGGAGTAAAACTTCCAATGAGATTGTTATTATAATGTATATCGTTACCTGAAAGGAAATATATTTATATAATTATTATATTAATTATAAAAATATAATATTAAAACAAGTATGTATTAAGAGTTGATGTAAAAATCAAATTTCAAGATAAAAAATATGAGAAAGGCTAAATAAATGTGATGTAAGTTAATATTGAAATAAATATAAATAAGATTATGATTAAATCTGTAAATGATCTTGCTACTATTTTTTAAAGATTCAAGGATGCATTGGGTTCAAATCTTCATTGTTTTTAATATTCTCATTATTTTTTGTTGAAATAAGAAGCTATTCAGGATCATTGGCCTTGTTTGTGAAAGAGAGCCGACTTACGACAACAGTACTTAACAGGTTATTTTCTGTTACATACATTTTTTTGTACTTTGAATATGTAATAAAATATTATGTAATTTTCTAAAAAGTTTGTTCAAATATCTCTTCAAAGTAGTATTTTTTTAATACTTGAACATAACTTCAAACTTGATATAGCTCTCAACAGAAAATCTTAATTCACTTTGCATCGTTTCGATTTGCTAATGCATTGAAAGGTTTTACGGGTGATTTATAATTAACACAGCGATATTTAAGTTTGTGCATACATTATCTTACTGATAAATACTGACCTGTAACATACCACGTATCACTTGGAATATCCTTGATTAAACCTGGAATATTATTTCTAACAGTCTCTGAATCAATATTTAAATCAGTAATGCCAATTTTAATGCTTCCAGCAAGATGCGGTACATAATTTAATAACTTTACCTAAAATGAGGTCATAAAATTACTGTAAATAAACTTTGAGACAGAATAATTAAATAATTACCTCGAAGGGTTCATTATAAGCCAATGGAGTGCTGCTGAAAACTAAGCAATGCTGCAATCCTAAAATCAACTCTTTTCTTTTGGCTACAGTAGCGCTGTCACTTAAAGCCATATTGCGACTAAATACATTGGCAAATCTGAAAAAATTAATGATAGAGTTATTATATATATATATATATATATATATATATATATATATGTGTGTGTGTGTGTGTGTGTGTATGATTTCACCTATGGTAAACGTCAGCTTGAATATTTGGTTGAATTACAGATGTAGCTTGCAAACTAGCAGAATTTTCAGAAATTGCATAAGGGGCTCTGGCTTCATTTTGAACAATGGTTATCTATAAGAATAATTACAATACATATAAAAACATTATAAAAATGCAGATTTGTCTTTATATATAGTATAAACAAAACTACCTGTGTGCACATTCCATATAAATCAACAACAGCATATAAATTCCCAGCACGAATCTTACATGCCATTCCCTGATCAACACCATCCAAATAGAAGTGAACGAAACCTGACTGATTTCTTTTGACCCCTACAAAATTATTTAGTACAATTAATAAATAATCAACTACAAATCTGTTCTACATCTTCAATTTAATAAAAGGCTTTGTATTAATGCACCTAAATTATGTTAACTTCAACTATATCATAAGCATGTTAACTATAACATTTAACTATGAAAATATAAAAAGAATCATATATGTAAACATATTATATATAACAATAGCATACCTATTCTGGCACCTGCTCTTAATGAGTCTAGATCCATTGGATAACCATTTCGAATATTACATCCATTTTCCATTATTATAGCGCCACTCAACATCACCGTGTCTTGTTCTAAATCTGTAGCTGTTGTAGGCAATGAAATATCTTCAGGTCTTACAGCAGTTAGACCTAAAATTTTAATTAAAATATATAATATAATCGCATATCTGTGAAGTATTATTGAAGAAAAATGAAAAATCCAGCAAAAAATAAAATAAGTGTCCCAAAACTTCAATTGAAAGAGCAGTGCATTATTATATGCTTCTTCCATGTTAGACAAAGAAGTTAAATATTTATTGCAATTATGGTTTCATGGGTCATTTTAAGAAATTTTGCCAAAGAAACAAAAATTCAAAAGTTAGATTTCACTATAAATTTAAATATCAATCTCAATAAGAAGATTATCATAAGACGATTATCAACTATAATGTTCATGTATAAAAGAAAAATAAGTTGAAAAAAAAATATTGTCAATTAAATTATATGAAAGCGAATTATAATAAATAAAACTCACCAATTTCAATACTTCCACACCATCTTTCGACCAAAGTATCTAGGGTGACTTCAAACATTTCGCCATCTCTCAAAGGCCGATTTGAGAATACAATAGCATCATTAAATTCAGCATGGGCCCGTGGCCTGCACGCTGTAAGACCATTAGCGATAATCTGCGCATTCCTTCCATGTACTGCATTAAAACGTAGATCACTAAAAAAAGTTTAATAATTATTAATTTCAGCAACATCAATCTTGAACTCAATAACCAAGAGAAAAAATGTATTATTATTTCTATAAGATTTATACTGTATGCTTTCAAAATTGGAGCATATTTTATAATATTCTATGGAATACCTATATAGAGTAATGTTTGATACACTGGAATTCATAGTGTCAGGAGAACATAAATCGGATGAATATACAATACTAGCTTGGTAAGCTTGACCATACAAATCTGAAAAATATAAAATATATGATGATAAAAATTTCTTTCTTTAAATGTAGTACAAATTTGATTATGCAAATATAATAAATAACTAATCGTAAGTTGCATTATCATCCCGACATATGTGAATAATTGACTTAATCAATAAGGCATCAATATATTTTTTTGAGTAAATTATAGGAATACCTCGCGTTATATTGCTGTATTGAGCACTATAATATGAGAAACAATTGCAGATTAATTAATTTAGTACAAATTTATCAAACATTTTGAATAAATTAATTAAATATTATGCATTAGTGAAAAACGAACAAGCGCCTAATACATACACGGGGTTTTATCTAAAAGCAGGGTTGATTGATCCAATCTTTAATTAATTTTTATAATTAAACCACTTGTCGTAGGTCTCTAATATTTTAGTTTGTTAATTGAGACCAGGTAATCCATCACAATGGTCAAAAGTCAGCCAGTAATTATATTTTCAATTTTGATATCAAACGATATAGAATATTTGAAATATCTAGAGAACACCCAAATAGCAATTCGAAATTTCTGACTAAAATATATTAGCATTTATAATTATAAGATACTAAAATAGACTAGACTAGAAAACTAGAAAAATAATAAACTATAACAAAATAACAATAATAGAAATAGTAAGATAATAACAATAATAATAATAATAATAATAATGTTAGCGTTTACAAATTTATGAGATCATTGGGAAATTATGAAGCTGCTCACATAGTATAACGTGATTCTATTTTATTGCAATTTATCAAAACGTTCTTTTTGAGAGTATTTCCTGTATATTTTATGTTAATTAACTACTTTCGTAAACTTTTCCTGACAGTTTTCAAAATCAATACCAAATATTTTGTATTTCTTATTAGAAATGAATATAGAAATTGACTCAAAAAAAAGCATGTGATCAATAAAAGAACAATAGAAACAAAATAGGTAATAAAAAATTATGCCATAATTGAACTTTATGTTAAATATGTTTTTATAATAGATATCATGAATCAAGCATACCTACAACACCATAAATGCATTCAGGAACTTCTGTGGCTGCGGGTCCTTGATCAACACCATTAACATAAAAATGTAAAATACCTCCCTCTCTTCTTATTACACCGACTCTATCGCCAACCTGTAATAACATTTTGGTAAAATATTTGAATCAAACTTTACAAAATTAATACAAAAATTAATGTAAAAATTAAATCTATGTTCACAAAATCATTTAAAAAATAAGTTACAAAATGCTTTAATCACAAACCTGTAATCGATCTAAATTTTGTCCATAACTCTCAATAATCGTAATTCCATTGTGCATTATACCATTCCCAGTCATCATCCATGTACCAGTTCTATAATGAAAAATTAAATTATTTTAAAAATGTAATGTGAAATCTCTCTAGTAAATAAAATCTATTGCAAATGTAAAAATGCAACATGCCTGACATTGGTCATGGTAAATGGAAAGTCCAACTCTGAAGGAGCATGTGTTGTTACCCCAATTTCAATACTGCCAGCCCATTTTGTTATAATTTTTTCTAGGCGTACTTCAAAGAACTCATTCAAACGCAAAGGCCTTTGTGTTAAAACAACACCATTGTTGAAGTCATCATTTGCACTGTGAATAAAATACAAATATCCAATTAAAAAGTTTTCTAGTGGTGTTCAATAATTTATTGAGAATGTTTGTAGTACTTAGGCCTATGGACACTTCTTCCATTATTAATAACCTCAGCATGCATTCCACATATTGGATGAAATAATAAACGATCACTGTCATTTGTACTCCATGTTTCAATACCAGAATTAGCATAATCGCCACTGTTAGAATTGATTGAATTGAGCATGCTTCGTCTGGTAACTAAATTTTGCTGCTCCCTTTCATCTCTATCCACTATAGTCACCTACATAAAAGAAATAGAGAAAAAATACTTCATACTACTTAAAATATAGAGAAAAACTTTAAGGAAATATTATAAGCATTTAAAAAATAATTGAAAAATAATATTACTCTTATAGTCATTCCATACAGATCTATTACACCCCATAATTGTGGTGCAACCCGAATAGCAGCTACACCTTGATCGAGTCCATTTATGTAATAATGCAAGTTTCCATTTGAATGTCTGATCATGCCTACGCGATCGCCTACCTGGAAAAGTTTTCAATAAATAACTTAAATTATGTATGTAATATAGTGTTTTCTTTTCTATGAAATAAATATTTCTCAAGAAAAGTTTGTTTTCATAATGAAATGTAGTAGAATTCCACAGTGATGATCCATAAACTTTTTATTTTTAATCCCTCATAAAATAAAACAATTAATTTTAAAAAATTACAATCTTTTAAGAGCTTAAATAATCACATATGTCTTTTTGATTCAAGAATTTCAGTACTAAATAAAATAATCTTAATATGAACAAGCACAAAAACAAACTACAAAGTTAGAGCAATATATTTTGAATGATTTCTAACAAATATTTTGAAAAACTCAAAATATTTTTCTGGATAATTGGAAATGGTTTCTTACCCTCAATTCATCTAGGTTAAAATCCCCATATTCCCTGCGAGTACCTTTTCCATTTGTTAATATTCCACTTCCAGACATCATAATAGTGCCTACAAAAGATATTTTAATAAGTCCACAATTTTATGTATACAAAACAAACTTTGTAAAAAAAATATTACCACTTCTCATATTTGTCATGGTTGCTGGGAATTGTAGTGCTTCTGGATTGTGTGTAGTAACCCCAACCTTTTATGAGCATACTTATAAATAAATTTTTAAAGCCTCTTTACATATATTAGAAATGAATTACCTCTATACTTCCAGACCATTTATCAATTAGACGATCTATTCTTATTTCAAAAAGTTCATTATCACGAAGTGCTCTGTGAGTCATTACAACTCCATTATTGAACTCATCAAGAGGTCTTCTTCTTTCAGCAGTCCTTAAATAATGAAATATTTAAATACATGTTAACATAATGAATAAAAGCTATTTAAATTCTATATCTTCACTCACAAATTTATAATATATATATATATATAAGATGGATATTAGATTTGTTTAAAAAAAATTGTGTTTACTTTGTGCTGTATGAATTATTTGAAATAATGTTTTGAGAAATTTTAATGTAGCACTATGCATTACAATTAAAATTTACTTATTTATATTTAAGAAGTTAACTGTAGTATGGGTAAATAATTAACATCATAATTAGAAAATTCTAAAATGATTTTAAATTTTAATATATTGTTATTTCATGTGTACTTCATGGATAAGAAATAATTAGATGATATTCCGCAGTAAATAACAGAACATATGGGAAATACTGTACATATTTAGGGAATAACAGTACTTATTTAGCAAATTCTATCCGTATTTGTGGATATATGATATATATAGCAATTAACAAAAATAACCATTAATTATAAAGCAAATAAAAATGAAATAATTAGAATTATATAAAAATGTAATAATTAGTATATAATATAAAACACATTAGAAAAGATGATACTAGTATTTCAGTGCTTAAATAAAATATATTCAAATTAGAACACTTTATTAGAAAAGATGTGACTGGTATTTCAGTAATTACTTCAATAAAATAGAATTTCAATTAGAACTTTGTATTCTTTTTTATAATGTTATTATGAATATAATGAAATCTTCATAGCTTAAGATAAATCACAATTTTAGACTTTTAAACTTATCAACAGTATATTTTACAAATGAAAATAAAATATCTAGTTAATAAAAAACAATCACAATATTTAGTTACAAGAATTTATGTGTGAAAAAAAACATTGAATTATTAATTCAATATCGAGTTGAAATACCATTTAGCATATAATTAAGAATTCAAAATTAATATTTATGATAAGTTAAGCTTTTCCTAATTGATATTTCAAACCTTGCATTATCACTCAGTCGAATCATTGAACCACATCTTTGGTGAAAATGGAGTCTGTCATTTGGATCGGAACTTGCAATAGTTGCCGGACATACAGTATTTGTTACTGTAAGGGGAGTACTTAGATAAACACTAGAGTCATTATTATGTTCCTGCAAATACACAATAAAATATAAACAATAGCAGTACTGAATGAAAGTAGTAGGATGGTATTTTACATACAGGTTGTGTGTTAGTGCCTCTCATATATGTTACTTGCACACATTTTCCAAACAGATCTATTACAGCATAAACTACATGAGGTATGTTAAAAGCAGCAGGACCTTGAGATTCACCGTTAATATAAAATATTAATTCAGACTGAAAACAATTAGATTAATGTTAGCTTTTAGTAATTTAACTGTACGTACTTTATATATGAAGAAAGGCATACTTGACTAGTTCGCATAACACCCACTGTATTTCCCTCGTGTAATTTTTCTAAGTCTTTCCCATAAAACTCAGCAACAAAACTGCCATCCTTTAAAACAGACTCACCAGACATAATCTGAAATTTTCAAACTAGGTCAATTCTGCTTTGATGATATATTTTTAGATAGAACTTAGTATTTGTGTTCACCCATGAGCCATTTCGCAATTTTGTTGCACATGCAGGAAAATCTAATGTATCTGGATTGGAGGCCGTGACGCCAATGTCTATACTACCGCACCAAGAATTAACCTGAATTTGGTAAATAGTGGTAAATAATATTATTTAGGAATAGGCATTGCTCTAGATGTATAATATGAACAATTACTTTTTTGTCAATACGGACTTCAAACAGAACATCGTCTTTTAGAGGTTCAGCGCTTAAAACTAATCCATGGTTAAATTCACTAATATTTCGTGCGGCTGTACAATTGTTATTTGAAAGGGTGATGCATTCCCCGCATCTCGCGTGAAATGCCATAATTTAAATACCCTAGTAATTTAGCTAAATTTAGAATATTAACACATGTTTAGTTTGTATTGAAAATACACGGTCAATAAAATCAAAACATGTTTTGACAGTTCCCCTGACTCATGTCAAATTGTACAGTGTTATGTTAGGTAAAAGATAAGTGTTGCCAACAAGCAGGCGTGGCCTTGCGCAATTTAGACATAAAGAAACGGTAAAATTATTTGAAAATGAGAAATCTAATGAATTCATATTATGGGAATCAAAGTAGTCCATTAAATCCAAGACTTTAAAATATAATATATTCATATGTATTAATATTCAGTAAAAATATCATATTACTAAAATATATATAGCATGATAAAAAAGTTTAGTCACGTCTACTTAACTTCCTGTAGAGTAAGTTGTTTCATAGCAAGAAATATACAACACAAAGAAAAGCGCTTTACCAACGCCTAGAACAAAAAAATATAGTTTTTCCAACGAATACGACAATAATATTAGCTATGAAAAACATGAGTATATATAAAGATGTAACCAAATATTTATTTGAGTGCCAAAAATATTTATAGACAACTAAGTTAATTTATCAATTTAATTAAGCTAGTTATTTAATCTAATTAAAATTATTGAAATTTGAATTTATTATTATTTTAATCACTATTGAAAATGTAAGAATAGATTAAGTTAGTTATTCTATTAGTTAGTTATAAGGGATGACTGTATATTATTAAATAGATGTCAATAAAATCATATTAAAAAGAAAAAAGTTTTTTCATAAGACATTTCTCTTGTACCATACATGCGCATACTTTCCTCTGAAAATAATAAGTGCTACATATTAGACACATTGAATTATAAATCAGTGTCAAATATAATCTTGAGCTATAAACAAAATGCATCTATACTTTTACTAATTAGGAATCCTTCTCATCATTATAAGTCACTTTATAGTTTTCGGCATATATTAGGTTGTCAAATATCTCCCTTCCGCCTTTTTGTATTATAAACCAAGAGCAAAAAAGCGGAAGGGAGATATTTGACAACCTAATATAAATTAATATTGAATATTGAAAATAAAAACTTAATAAAATAATATTTTAAAAATTACAATTGCAAAAAATATTGAATTATATTAAATTTCATAATTATGATACAAAGTTGAGTGCAGAAAATAGAAATCGAGTTTTTGAGAGTACGGAGCATTCAATTCGAATGATTCAAAATATGTTCAATTCGTAATGATGGGGAAAAGTGGTGATTAGTTTCTGGCAAAGACAGGTCCAGCCTTTTTAGAGATACTGAGCTAAATGTGCCAAAAATGGCAGTTTTGAAAGATCTGAATTAAATGATTCAAAAATGCTTTTGATGTATTGACAAAACGATTATTTTTAAGTACAGTATTACAATTTTTTTTAATTTTCGAAAAATTTGTTTTTGAAAATCGAAAATAATTCGGATTTTAATTTTAATTTTAGTTAAAATTCCTAAACTCACTTATATATTTGAAAAAAATAATTTGATCTTTGCATTTCAGTTCATATAAATCTCAAAAATATGAGATAAGGTCCTTCATTCTATCTCCGCTTGATTAAGTTTTGTGTATTCTTTTTTCCTGTAAACTTATATAAACGTCATCGTCCAATTTATAAGCTATTTAGTCTATAAAATACGAATAATGAAAGTTATAATATTTATAATTATATAATAGGAAACATGTAATATTCTTCGAATATTTCATTACGGAATGAAAAGTTCCCGCAATTTGTTTTAAGGCACGACGCCGTGCACTACTAGTTTGCATATTGATTTAGAATTGTTATCAAAATTTGTTCTATAAAATAAAATCATCTAAAATGATTTATTGTTTTAGAAATATGAAACACAGCTTCACCATACAAGAAATATAAATTTCGGCTTTTACATTTAATTTAAATTTTTCTGTATCATGGTCTAATTTAAAAAAAATATTCGCTAACAAGAACGTTTTTATGCGGTGAGCCAAATTCGCACGTTCTGATCCCAGCTACAAGATGCTAAAGCCATTCCATTCTTTGATAAAGAAACTGATGTCACTCTATTTTCGTGGCCCGATAATGTACCTAAAACACTCATGATAATTAATATTTAAATATCACTTATATTATTAAAAGATAAAAATGAATCACAAATAGTTACCCATGGTCTGCCCTTTTAACAGATCCCACATATGAATACTTTTATCGATTGATCCACAAAGTGCAATACGACCACTTAGAGACACAGCTGAAGATAAAATATTTGTTATAGTGCAATTATATAAAAATCTAAGTTTAAGTGTTTATAATTTACCACACGATGTGAATCCAGCATTTGGATTTGTAGAAGATATTTTTGTTAGTTGCTGGTCTGATCTTACATCAAAGAGGATAGAAGATTTATCTTCGGATGCCGATACAAATGCTTGTTCGTTTGGATGAAACTGAAATATATTATTTATGTATAATAAACGATTTGAAACAAAAGTTTACTTTTTGTTAATCTTCTGAGTGATATTGAATTGTTTTCCTCCATAATTGGAAAAAAGTATTTGTGCATATTTAAGCAAACTTTGCTTTCGTTGTCGTTCTGCCGAAAAAAGCTGTACCGATTTTAAAAACATAAGCCGTTTTGGCTTATAAAGCCTAAACACTTAAAGGATAATTGATAAAATTAAAGCACGCGTCGATTATAGGTAATAATCATTCAAATTAATTCAATTAATTTTTAATTAATTTAATTTTAATTAATATTTAAAAATTAAATTAAATGACTTTCAAAATTGGCTGTTTTTTGGTAATTAAATTAGTTAAAAATATCCAAAACTATTTTTAAAATTTCAAATGTTACATAGATATTTTACTGTTGATATGGAATAGTTTTATGTGAAATTCTGCCTGTTTGTAACTTCGAAAAAAATATGTAATATGGTTTCAGATGGAATTATATCAAAGATTTTGTCTCTCTAATGAAATTTAAAAAATTTAAAGTTGTTTATTAAGTTCCGGTAGGGTAAGTTGATTGTAGTAATTGCAAAAAAATCGAACATGAAATTTTTTATATATTTTTACGTCACAGAAGTTTCTGAACGTGATTGCTTTAAAAAAATGTTCATGATTCTCAAAAAACAAATCTAAATTCAAAAATTTCAAATTTTTCCAAAAAAAAATTTTTTTTTTCAAATATTTCAAAATTTCTCAAATATCTAAATTTGAAAAAATTTCAAAGTTTTCTTTTAAATTTAGTTTTTGTTACCAGAAGTTCCAGCAATTTGCCTTAAGGCACGATGCCATGCACCGCATGTTGAGTTAATTTATTACTTACACAAATTCCATTAACATCAGCCGAGTGGCCAAAAAAGCAATTTGCCATTTTGGGTTGACGCAAGTCCCACAAACGGCAAGTGCTGTCAGCACTACCCGTTACGTAGCAGCCGGTTGAGGCCAAGGATATGCAGGCAACTCCTCCGGTGTGGCCCAAATATTCGCCAGTTTTGCGACCAGTCTCCAAGTCCCATTTACAACTGAAATTATAAATGATTAATGGCAATTAATATTGTCATCTAATTTGTAACATGTGGCTCAGTCATAACCCTTATAATACGTGGACTACTAGTCGAGTTCAAAAAAGTGCCATAACATGAAAGGCGACTGAGACGTCACTGGGTGAAGGAGCGTTGCCGAGAACCTTCGTATACTCTCGATTGCTACGTTAGCTCGTGCTCGAATACTCTCTACGCATCATGTAACCATGATAACTATTATGACATTCAAGCAAACGAGAGTTTTCGACGGTTCTCGGTAACGTTCGTTCACCCGGTGACGTCACAATTGCTTCTCATGTTTTGACACTTTTTAACAGACAAAACATATGAGTACTAGCAGTCCATGTAGTATAAGGTCTATGGACTCAGCAATTAGCCGTTTGTAGACGTTATTATATCCGCTATAAACATATGAAATAACCAGAATCACAAAGTTGTTGTGCTCTACACTTTCTCAACTCCTCTTATTATAAGTTAATTCATTATTAAATTGATTACCTACATATTAATGATGTAAAATATATAATAAAGTGCATAAACACGTTCCCTATATCTACTAGTTTAATCTAGTAGTTTAGTAAATATCCCATCCAACTCTTCTTCTATTTCTACCTGAATCTCCAATTTTCACATAAAGCAATGTATTACGTAACTTATCTACGTGAATGAATTTTATAAATTTTTGTTTTTACAATAATGTCTATCCAATTGTATTGATTGAATATGACTATAATTTGTTTTGTTTGCAACATTTTTCGCTGAAGAACTTATGTAATACAAATTTTATTTTTCATGATTCGATGAATATTTGTTTGTTTAACACGTTCACGCCGGGGCCGATTTTCGTTTGTTTTGTTATGAGGCGGCGCTGAAATAAACATCGCGCTTCATCTGGCGGCGCGTGATTATTGCCTATTCAGACCTGCATACGCCTTGTTTGTTGCTCTGCAGTACAGTGAGATCTTATTGTGCAAGTTTTGTAACTTGTGCCGTTTTTTTCATTCTGACCACAAATTTCCGACAGTAAATATAATTAGAAAGGTGATTAGAATGTTTTTTTAATTTTTACCCTTATAAAAAATGGATAACATAGATATGGAAATAAGTGATTCGGATGAATCTATAATTAGAAGCAAGAAAAGAAAAGTGGCAAGATTACGAATAGTTTCTTCCTCTTCAGACGAGGATTTTGTTAATTTTATCAATGAAGAGAACGAGTGTTCATTCAAACAATATTAGATTTTATGTTATTTTAACCGTATTTGAGTTTTTTGTATAATACTGTATTATTATGTTTGTTATTGAACAAAACTTATAGTTCTGATACATTTTTGATTATAATTATTATTAAAAATAAATGTTTTTAATGACAGTTTAGTGTGGGTCACCGGTGACCCGCGCCGCCCGATGAGACAGTTTAGTGTGGGCACCGGTGACCCGCGCCGCCCGATGAGACAGTTTAGTGTGGGTCACCGGTGACCCGCGCCGGCGCGAACGTGTTAAATAACATTATTTGTAATAATATGAAATACTAAATATAAAAATTTAACACTTACATTTTTGCATCTCCTGATCCAGTTATTATATTTTTATCATCAAGGAATCTACAGCTGCTCAAAAATCCTTCATATCTATATAAATGAATACATTATAAATATTTATAATATATAATATATGTTTACAAGATACATATATATATATATATAACCCTAAATGAATAAATTATTTTATTAAAAAGTTTTACCCCGCCAACTCTCTAACCATTTTAGGGATTCCAGAGCTATCTTTATTTTCCAAATCATATATTGTACACATATTATCCATACCTCCACAAGCTAAAATAATAAAATAAAGATTATGAAAGAAAAATATATTTAATACACGATCTTACCAACGAATTTTCCAGAAGGTGCAAAAGCCACACTCATAACCCAGGAAGAGCGTAATGGTATTACTATACAATAACACATTATTTGTTAAAATTTTAAAATTACAAGTGTTAAAATTACATAAAACCTATTACGTACTCTGTATTTTATTACTGGTCCATGTATCCCAAATAATTAGTTTTCCATCCAATGATGCTGAAACACAGTTTCTAAGAAAAATAAATTAAAAAGTTTTAAAGCAATAATAACAGTATTTTATATATAATGAATTTATAATATGTAATATAAAAAAATGATTTATGTTTTGTAACTTTAATTAGCGAGTACTGACAAACAATAAATATACTATAGTAAACTGAAACTATTTGGAAACTGGACTAATGGAAATTAAACACAATTTGGCAATTGGAGACAGCTTTTACTTTTATTTCATCAATACTTATTTCATTTTATTTACCTGGAATCATCACTAAAATGCACTGCATTAACTTTGTTAATATGACCTTTCAGCAACCGTTTGGTCGACATTTTAACTTTTGGCAATGCTGGAACATCACCGCACTTTTCTTCAAAAGTACAATCCGCTACCTTACCTTGTTCTGCCTGCGAAATAGATCACGATATATTAGAAGATATATTAGATTTTTTTCAATTTTTTACGATTCCAAATATATGTAACTTTAATTTTCTCAAATAACTCATTCAACTCCGTTTGCAACGCTTTTAACTCCTCGTTTGCCTTTGGCGCCATACCGCTTCGTTGAAGTATTAATTATAACTGTCGCAAATGTTACAAAAACATGAAAATGCTCAAAACATGAATATTGAACATCTATTATTAGTTCTTTGTCGTTCACCATTCTTAATACTAATCCAATTAAATCAGCACTCATAAGGAATCATTGTGTGCCATTAGGTGAATTACATACGCATCGTGGCATAAATTATTTGAAACACCTGTGCTAGAAACAACCAATCATAATGTGATAAAGTTTGACCGATAATTGAACATTTATTGTTATTTTAAATAATATGAATCATAGATTTATAAAACTTTATTATATGGGTTTCTTAACTTCTAATAGGTTATCTTATTGAAAAATCAAGTTTTTGTGGATTATCAATAAGATGCATTAGAGCTATTAAATATTGAGCTTAGTTCCAATATACGAGTAATCTTGAAATATTTCAGATCAGATAAGTTATCAGATTTAAGTAAATCTAAATCTTTTGATAATATAATTGAAAAAGGCGTTTGGCACCATAATTGTGCGTTTGAATGTGAACCAACATTTAACATTTCGTAGACGTTTTGCGATTTTAAAATTTTAAAAGCCATCATCAGACAATATGTCGAGCTGTTTCTTTAGTATTAGCAAAAAACAGCAAAATATATCATCCACGTTTTCACAAAAATTTCTTAATCAATTTTGAAAATTTTGTATTGATTTTTGTAAATATCGTCCGAGTCCTTTTTTGAAATTAATTGTGAACAGAAAGATTTTGACAAAAAAATTGTATGATAATAAAATTCATGGTCTAAATCGCAATAAACATCCTGAAATATTTCGGATCTATAAAGAGTCATCTCTAAAAATCTTCATCCTTATTTATTATCGACACATAATGGATATATAATAAGGAATGTCCTTACCTTAAGGCAAAATGACACTTGCGCCCAGTTTAATTCTGTATTCTGAACCTATAATAAAATATGGGCATTTTATGTCAAAAAATTTTATATTACAAATAATTTACGAGTTATAAATTAGAATAGTCGAATGAGTATCAAAACATTGGATGAATTACAGAAATTGCATTTTTAGATATTATTTTTTTAACATATTAATATAGACATAGTAATATATTTAGATATACATAATAATATATTTAGATATTAATTTTTTATATATTAATTTATATTATAAATAATAGGCATATATTATAGTGAAATTTTAACGTTTTTTTAAGGTTTATTTAAATTATAAAATGTTCATATAATTTTTACAATTTCGAAAAAAAATCACAGGAAACGTAATTACAAATTTCGCAAGATTTTAAAATGTTCAATTATTTCGAAAATTTTAATTAATCTGCAATTTTCATAAATATCCAGTTTTACCAATCTATTCATTTTTTAAAATGTTTTTAAATAATACTGATATTTTTCAAGTGATACCTCACAGTTTACACACCTCTTCAAGTGAATTAATTACTTTTTATCGAAAACATTAATTTAAGTTAGTTATATTCGAATGCGATAATTTAGAATTATTTTAACCTTTTACTTCTTAATAAAACTATCCAATAATTTTTCAAACATTTATTTCAAAAATATATAATATTATAATAATGATGCATTTTGTCATATTTATTATGATCAAATCACGAAGATATGAATATGTTTGAATGAACGATTGAATGCTTATCATAAAATATTTATAAACTTAAACTTCACTTATAAATATCAAGAAAAATATTTAGTTACATGATACGTTATCGAATTATGAATTAGAGTAGTCGGTATTTAGCGGCGCGAAGAATTGGGAATTTATCACCAGAGCAGACACCGCGGAAATCGTCGAATCCTAAATCGATAATAGCAATACCACCGAGTCCTTTGGCGCGTACGTAACCAGCCTTGTTTCCAGCAGTATCAGGATCTTCGTACGATACCCACATTCCATGCTCACCACTGTCATCAGGTAGGCGGAAAGCATATGTTCCTGTAATAATAATAAGAAACTTTAGCAATAGTAACAAATATACAAAATATTTTATGAAAAAATCCCTAACAATTTCTTGAACATATTAGATATACAAATCTGTTTATATTTAAATTAAATTAAATTAAATTAAATTAAATTATAGAATTTTTAAAGCTAAACGAGTTGTCGTAGGGCCGTAATATTTTAGTATGATCTAGAAGACTATGGTATCTACCATCAAAAAAATAATAATAAAAATTGTCGAATTTTTTTTTTTAAAACTTTATTACAAGAAAACGGTCCGGCCGATCTTTACTAAAAACTAATCAGCACGATTCCCAACCAATATCTATCGAATGGTTTTGAATTTTCAGAATCGATTCAGAATTACGGGCTAAAACGTGGACGAAAAAATTTTCACTTTTCTGCAATTTACAAAGAAAAGGCTCGGCCGATCGCCGCACAAAACTCAGAAACGAAAGTCCTCATCGAGATACATCGAATGGCTTTTAAATTTTTGAAATCAACCATCCGTTTTGGAGAAAACGCCGATTTACGGCGAAAAATATGTTAACACACACACACATACACATACACACACATACTTTTTCCAAATTTGGTCTCATTCGATTCAGAATGGCTTGAAACGTCGAGAAAACATAAAATTGGCGAATCGGATTTTTTTATGAAAACATAAACTTCTCCTTCGGGAAGTTAAATATTTGATATTTTAATATGAAATTGATTCAATACGATTTAACACATATAATTTAACTCTGCATTAATTTTAATTGTTTTAAAAAGGAAATAGGTTTTAATAAGATAATTGCGTTATTTCTCAAATACTGCTTCGAAATCTTCTTTAATTACAATTTTAAAGAAGGTTAGGTCACGTAGAGCAAATGTTCTTGTAAATATAACATCAAAAATTACATACCAGAAGTAAAAAAAATCACAAAAATGGAATTTATTTGTAATTTGTACTTGAAATGTGCAAACATTATCAAACAGATTAATATAATTATTAAAAAAAAAGATGTTTTTAATCATTCAAACCATGCTTGACAAATCTATTTGTAGGGCCAACAATTGTATTTATTAAATTAACTACTATTATTTTTTTCAGTCAGAAATTAAATATTCATTTATTTACAAAAATTGTAACTACTAATTATTGTTCTTGCATTACAATTAACGCATAATAATCACAAAAATTCATTGCGCCAATTTTAATTATTTAAAACCAATTTTATCAGTAGGTAAACCATTATCTGCACATACCATAACGTTTGGATGGATCAGTAACCTTTCTCAAAGCAGCGTCTGCACCTTTAAGATTATTAGGATTGCTCAATTTAGCACAAACTTCTGGATAGCTGAGAAGTCCGGGGAGTTTAGATTGTGGTCCTTCTTCTCCTGGGCCATCACTGGTTAGTGGAGGGACACCAGATATGGCGGAATCTGATGTGAGTTTCCATGTACGTCCGAATGTTGGGATGCCAAGGATCAATTTAGAGGCAGGGGCTCCAGATTCAATCCTAGATACAAAATGATAAAATAATTTTATTATAGATAATATTTTACTGAATCTAGATTACGATTTTCTTACCAGTAGGCTACTTGTGCATCAATGTTGCTTTGAGGATTGCGCTCATGCAAAGCATAGATTGGACTAGTGTAGTCGGCTTCTTTTGGGTTTCTTTGAGGGGTCATAAAGTCGTATGAGTGCATGATGACGAAGTCCAAGTTGTTGATGATCATTCGAGTGTCAAAGAAGTCTATCAAATTTAAAAAGTCAATTTAAAACTGAGGGGTCGAAGCCATTAAAACAAATGCATTGTTTGAATGGCAAACTCATTTATGATTATTCGATCCTAATTTTCTTAACTTTAGATCAATTGCTATAACCAATTATGTCAGAGATTTTAATTAAATTTAAATTTAGTATACAATCGCAGGATCTAAGAGTAAAGGATAAAAAATATCAGAATGATGTAACGATTTTCTTCCTAAGCATTGTTGCATATAACTAAATAATATATAATCATTGATAAATAAATTCCAATAATAAAAATCTATCAACTACAGATAGTTTAATCATCGGGTTCTCATCTAAAGAAAAGTTTTAAAGAAATATCAAATTTCTCAACGTCTGTTCCTTTGAGCTTTTGTTATAGCTATTGATTAGCTTAGTTGTGCGAAACTTTAAACAAAAATGGTTACTATATTATTATAATTTATATTTACATATACTGGTATTTTAGTATCATTACCTGTGGCATTAACATTGGGATTGACAGCAGCGGCGACTGCATATCCGTCATGTCTGAAAGCATTTTTCAAATCACGAACAAGTGATATAAAATCTTGTTTGTGTTCTTCTGCTTTCTCATCAACAACGGTACTGCCACCTCCGAAAGTTTTCTTCACACTGTGCCAAAATGAGCCTAAAAGAAATATATATCAAAATAATAAAATATTAGAAGTTGGACCTAACTATTACTTGATATGATACAGAAGAACCATTTATATATTTTTGCACAATAATTTAGGTTTTCTAATATTAAACTCCAAATTTACCAATAAGAAGTATATAGGGTACAAAGAAATATGAGAATTAAATCATATTATAAGGAGTTTGTAACTCGATATTTTATTAGAAAATTATTATTCTAAAATTACTTATAATAATGAATCTAAGGTAAATAAAATAATATAAAAACTTACCAAATCCAGAGCGAATCTTCTTTGGCTTAGATGGAGGGAAATTCCAAGACAAAACAAGACCATCAAAATCGTAGCTCTTTACAAGTGAATATGCAGAGTTAATGAAAGTTGTACGATGTTGACTAGATTCCAACTAAAATATAAAATTTAATATATAATTTCAATCAATCTCGTTGAGAGGGCAACAAAATTAGTTTTGAAAAAAAGAACTAATCTATATACAGCCAAATTAAAACCGATGCTTGTTGCATTGTAGCGATAGAGTTTGAAGATAGAGTTTCAGATCATATAGAAATTAAAATGATAAAATGATAAACATGAAAATATTAGGGAACAAATAAGAAATATTACTTCAGCGCATTATTAAGTAATATAATAATATGACAGAATTCTCACCATGGTTAAATATTTTTCTTTATCATCGCCGTAATCAGCATCAGTTCCAACTGATAACAAAACTTTAAGACCAGGGTAACGTTTTTTCATTGTAGTCATTTCGCGGAATGTTTTGTGACCGGTATCCAAGTCCAAATTTTCATTTAATGATATCAGTTTGAAATTTTCTGCGTGAATACCTGCATGTCCATAAACCAAATGGGTGCAGAAAGATAATGCTGCGTCAACATCAGCTGGTATCATTTTTCCGAGACCTAAAATTTTAAAAAGAAATCATGTTTTCAATTCACGATTGAATAAATTAAATTTCTAAAAAGCTAATACTTTTGTTAGACAAATCAAATCGTCGACTTTTTCAAACCTTAAAGGTTTAAAAAAATATTTTGAAAATAAAATAGAAAGATTACAAACCATCCCTTGCGGGGATCGAACCCACGACCTTTGGATTAGAAGTCCAACGCGCTATCCGCTGCGCCAAAGGGACTACGCTTGGGCGATATAAAGAAAGAAACGACAATAAAAATGGCTTTCGACTAAAAATAGAAAGAATACAAACCATCCCTTGTGGGGATCGTACCCACGACCTTTGGATTAGAAGTCCAACGCGCTATCCGCTGCGCCAAAGGGACTACGCTTGGGCGATATAAAGAAAGAAACGACAATAAAAATGGCTTTCGACTAAAAATAGAAAGAATATAAACCACCCCTTGTGGGGATCGAACCCACGACCTTTGGATTAGAAGTCCAACGCGCTATCCGCTGCGCCAAAGGGACTACGCTTGGGCGCATCAAGAAAGAAACGACAATAAAAATGGCTTTCGACTAAAAATAGAAAGAATACAAACCATCCCTTGTGGGGATCGAACCCACGACCTTTGGATTAGAAGTCCAACGCGCTATCCGCTGCGCCAAAGGGACTACGCTTGGGCGATATAAGGAAAGAAACGACAATAAAAATGGCTTTCGACTAAAAATAGAAAGAATACAAACCATTCCTTGTGGGGATCGAACCCACGACCTTTGGATTAGAAGTCCAACGCGCTATCCGCTGCGCCAAAGGGACTACGCTTGGGCGCATCAAGAAAGAAACGACAATAAAAATGGCTTTCGACTAAAAATAGAAAGAATACAAACCATCCCTTGTGGGGATCGAACCCACGACCTTTGGATTAGAAGTCCAACGCGCTATCCGCTGCGCCAAAGGGACTACGCTTGGGCACATCAAGAAAGAAACGACAATAAAAATGGCTTTCGACTAAAAATAGAAAGAATACAAACCATCCCTTGTGGGGATCGAACCCACGACCTTTGGATTAGAAGTCCAACGCGCTATCCGCTGCGCCAAAGGGACTACGCTTGGGCACATCAAGAAAGAAACGACAATAAAAATCACTTTCGACTAAAAATAGAAAGAATACAAACCATCCCTTGTGGGGATCGAACCCACGACCTTTGGATTAGAAGTCCAACGCGCTATCCGCTGCGCCAAAGGGACTACGCTTGGGAACATCAAGAAAGAAACGACAATAAAAATCGCTTTCGACTAAAAATAGAGAGAATACAAACCATCCCTTGTGGGGATCGAACCCACGACCTTTGGATTAGAAGTCCAACGCGCTATCCGCTGCGCCAAAGGGACTACGCTTGGGCGATATAAAGAAAGAAACGACAATAAAAATGGCTTTCGACTAAAAATAGAAAGAATACAAACCATCCCTTGTGGGGATCGAACCCACGACCTTTGGATTAGAAGTCCAACGCGCTATCCGCTGCGCCAAAGGGACTACGCTTGGGAACATCAAGAAAGAAACGACAATAAAAATCACTTTCGACTAAAAATAGAAAGAATACAAACCATCCCTTGTGGGGATCGAACCCACGACCTTTGGATTAGAAGTCCAACGCGCTATCCGCTGCGCCAAAGGGACTACGCTTGGGAACATCAAGAAAGAAACGACAATAAAAATGGCTTTCGACTAAAAATAGAAAGAATACAAACCATCCCTTGTGGGGATCGAACCCACGACCTTTGGATTAGAAGTCCAACGCGCTATCCGCTGCGCCAAAGGGACTACGCTTGGGCGATATAAAGAAAGAAACGACAATAAAAATGGCTTTCGACTAAAAATAGAAAGAATACAAACCATTCCTTGTGGGGATCGAACCCACGACCTTTGGATTAGAAGTCCAACGCGCTATCCGCTGCGCCAAAGGGACTACGCTTGGGCGCATCAAGAAAGAAACGACAATAAAAATGGCTTTCGACTAAAAATAGAAAGAATACAAACCATCCCTTGTGGGGATCGAACCCACGACCTTTGGATTAGAAGTCCAACGCGCTATCCGCTGCGCCAAAGGGACTACGCTTAGGCACATCAAGAAAGAAACGACAATAAAAATGGCTTTCGACTAAAAATAGAAAGAATACAAACTATCCCTTGTGGGGATCGAACCCACGACCTTTGGATTAGAAGTCCAACGCGCTATCCGCTGCGCCAAAGGGACTACGCTTGGGCGCATCAAGAAAGAAACGATAACAAAATTGGCTTTCGACTAAAAATAAAAAGAATACAAACCACCCCTTGTGGGGATCGAACCCACGACCTTTGGATTAGAAGTCCAACGCGCTATCCGCTGCGCCAAAGGGACTACGCTTGGGCACATCAAGAAAGAAACGACAATAAAAATCACTTTCGACTAAAAATAGAAAGAATACAAACCATCCCTTGTGGGGATCGAACCCACGACCTTTGGATTAGAAGTCCAACGCGCTATCCGCTGCGCCAAAGGGACTACGCTTGGGAACATCAAGAAAGAAACGACAATAAAAATCGCTTTCGACTAAAAATAGAAAGAATACAAACCATCCCTTGTGGGGATCGAACCCACGACCTTTGGATTAGAAGTCCAACGCGCTATCCGCTGCGCCAAAGGGACTACGCTTGGGAACATCAAGAAAGAAACGACAATAAAAATCGCTTTCGACTAAAAATAGAAAGAATACAAACCATCCTTGTGGGGATCGAACCCACGACCTTTGGATTAGAAGTCCAACGCGCTATCCGCTGCGCCAAAGGGACTACGCTTGGGCGATATAAAGAAAGAAACGACAATAAAAATGGCTTTCGACTAAAAATAGAAAGAATACAAACCATCCCTTGTGGGGATCGAACCCACGACCTTTGGATTAGAAGTCCAACGCGCTATCCGCTGCGCCAAAGGGACCACGCTTTGGAATATCAAGAAAGAAACGAGAATAAAAATCGCTTTCGACTAAAAATAGAAAGAATACGAACCATCCCTTGTGGGGATCGAACCCACGACCTTTGGATTAGAAGTCCAACGCGCTATCCGCTGCGCCAAAGGGACTACGCTTGGGAACATCAAGAAAGAAACGACAATAAAAATCGCTTTCGACTAAAAATAGAAAGAATACAAACCATCCCTTGTGGGGATCGAACCCACGACCTTTGGATTAGAAGTCCAACGCGCTATCCGCTGCGCCAAAGGGACTACGCTTGGGCGATATAAAGAAAGAAACGACAATAAAAATGGCTTTCGACTAAAAATAGAAAGAATACAAACCATCCCTTGTGGGGATCGAACCCACGACCTTTGGATTAGAAGTCCAACGCGCTATCCGCTGCGCCAAAGGGACTACGCTTGGGAACATCAAGAAAGAAACGACAATAAAAATCGCTTTCGACTAAAAATAGAAAGAATACAAACCATCCCTTGTGGGGATCGAACCCACGACCTTTGGATTAGAAGTCCAACGCGCTATCCGCTGCGCCAAAGGGACTACGCTTGGGCGATATAAAGAAAGAAACGACAATAAAAATGGCTTTCGACTAAAAATAGAAAGAATACAAACCATCCCTTGTGGGGATCGAACCCACGACCTTTGGATTAGAAGTCCAACGCGCTATCCGCTGCGCCAAAGGGACTACGCTTGGGAACATCAAGAAAGAAACGACAATAAAAATCGCTTTCGACTAAAAATAGAAAGAATACAAACCATCCCTTGTGGGGATCGAACCCACGACCTTTGGATTAGAAGTCCAACGCGCTATCCGCTGCGCCAAAGGGACTACGCTTGGGCGCATCAAGAAAGAAACGACAATAAAAATGGCTTTCGACTAAAAATAGAAAGAATACAAACCATCCCTTGTGGGGATCGAACCCACGACCTTTGGATTAGAAGTCCAACGCGCTATCCGCTGCGCCAAAGGGACTACGCTTGGGAACACCAAGAAAGAAACGACAATAAAAATCGCTTTCGACTAAAAATAGAAAGAATACAAACCATCCCTTGTGGGGATCGAACCCACGACCTTTGGATTAGAAGTCCAACGCGCTATCCGCTGCGCCAAAGGGACTACGCTTGGGAACATCAAGAAAGAAACGACAATAAAAATCGCTTTCGACTAAAAATAGAAAGAATACAAACCATCCCCTGTGGGGATCGAACCCACGACCTTTGGATTAGAAGTCCAACGCGCTATCCGCTGCGCCAAAGGGACTACGCTTGGGCGCATCAAGAAAGAAACGACAACAAAAATGGCTTTCGACTAAAAATAGAAAGAATACAAACCATCCCTTGTGGGGATCGAACCCACGACCTTTGGATTAGAAGTCCAACGCGCTATCCGCTGCGCCAAAGGGACTACGCTTGGGAACATCAAGAAAGAAACGACAATAAAAATCGCTTTCGACTAAAAATAGAAAGAATACAAACCATTCCTTGTGGGGATCGAACCCACGACCTTTGGATTAGAAGTCCAACGCGCTATCCGCTGCGCCAAAGGGACTACGCTTGGGCGATATAAAGAAAGAAACGACAATAAAAATGGCTTTCGACTAAAAATAGAAAGAATACAAACCATCCCTTGTGGGGATCGAACCCACGACCTTTGGATTAGAAGTCCAACGCGCTATCCGCTGCGCCAAAGGGACTACGCTTGGGAACATCAAGAAAGAAACGACAATAAAAATCGCTTTCGACTAAAAATAGAAAGAATACAAACCATCCCTTGTGGGGATCGAACCCACGACCTTTGGATTAGAAGTCCAACGCGCTATCCGCTGCGCCAAAGGGACTACGCTTGGGCGATATAAAGAAAGAAACGACAATAAAAATGGCTTTCGACTGAAAATAGAAAGAATACAAACCATCCCTTGTGGGGATCGAACCCACGACCTTTGGATTAGAAGTCCAACGCGCTATCCGCTGCGCCAAAGGGACTACGCTTGGGCGATATAAAGAAAGAAACGACAATAAAAATGGCTTTCGACTAAAAATAGAAAGAATACAAACCATCCCTTGTGGGGATCGAACCCACGACCTTTGGATTAGAAGTCCAACGCGCTATCCGCTGCGCCAAAGGGACTACGCTTGGGAACATCAAGAAAGAAACGACAATAAAAATCGCTTTCGACTAAAAATAAAAAGAATACAAACCATCCCTTGTGGGGATCGAACCCACGACCTTTGGATTAGAAGTCCAACGCGCTATCCGCTGCGCCAAAGGGACTACGCTTGGGAACATCAAGAAAGAAACGACAATAAAAATCGCTTTCGACTAAAAATAGAAAGAATACAAAACATCCTTTGTGGGGATCGAACCCACGACCTTTGGATTAGAAGTCCAACGCGCTATCCGCTGCGCCAAAGGGACTACGCTTGGGCGCATCAAGAAAGAAACGACAACAAAAATGGCTTTCGACTAAAAATAGAAAGAGTACAAACCATCCCTTGTGGGGATCGAACCCACGACCTTTGGATTAGAAGTCCAACGCGCTATCCGCTGCGCCAAAGGGACTACGCTTGGGAACATCAAGAAAGAAACGACAATAAAAATCGCTTTCGACTAAAAATAGATAGAATACAAACCATCCCTTGTGGGGATCGAACCCACGACCTTTGGATTAGAAGTCCAACGCGCTATCCGCTGCGCCAAAGGGACTACGCTTGGGCAATATAAAGAAAGAAACGACAATAAAAATGGCTTTCGACTAAAAATAGAAAGAATACAAACCATCCCTTGTGGGGATCGAACCCACGACCTTTGGATTAGAAGTCCAACGCGCTATCCGCTGCGCCAAAGGGACTACGCTTGGGAACATCAAGAAAGAAACGACAATAAAAATCGCTTTCGACTAAAAATAGAAAGAATACAAACCATCCCTTGTGGGGATCGAACCCACGACCTTTGGATTAGAAGTCCAACGCGCTATCCGCTGCGCCAAAGGGACTACGCTTGGGCGATATAAAGAAAGAAACGACAAGAAAAATGGCTTTCGACTAAAAAAGAAAGAATACAAACCATCCCTTGTGGGGATCGAACCCACGACCTTTGGATTAGAAGTCCAACGCGCTATCCGCTGCGCCAAAGGGACTACGCTTGGGAACATCAAGAAAGAAACGACAATAAAAATCGCTTTCGACTAAAAATAGAAAGAATACAAACCATCCCTTGTGGGGATCGAACCCACCCACGACCTTTGGATTAGAAGTCCAACGCGCTATCCGCTGCGCCAAAGGGACTACGCTTGGACGATATAAAGAAAGAAACGACAATAAAAATGGCTTTCGACTAAAAATAGAAAGAATACAAACCATCCCTTGTGGGGATCGAACCCACGACCTTTGGATTAGAAGTCCAACGCGCTATCCGCTGCGCCAAAGGGACTACGCTTGGAACATCAAGAAAGAAACGACAATAAAAATCGCTTTCGACTAAAAATAAAAAGAATACAAACCATCCCTTGTGGGATCGAACCCACGACCTTTGGATTAGAAGTCCAACGCGCTATCCGCTGCGCCAAAGGGACTACGCTTGGAACATCTAGAAAGAAACGACAATAAAATCGCTTTCGACTAAAATAGAAAGAATACAAACCATCCCTTGTGGGGATCGAACCCACGACCTTTGGATTAGAAGTCCAACGCGCTATCCGCTGCGCCAAAGGGACTACGCTTGGGCGCATCAAGAAAGAAACGACAACAAAAATGGCTTTCGACTAAAAATAGAACCCACGACCTTTGGATTAGAAGTCCAACGCGCTATCCGCTGCGCCAAAGGGACTACGCTTGGGAACATCAAGAAAGAAACGACAATAAAAATCGCTTTCGACTAAAAATAGAAAAATACAAACCATCCCTTGTGGGGATCGAACCCACGACCTTTGGATTAGAAGTCCAACGCGCTATCCGCTGCGCCAAAGGGACTACGCTTGGGCGATATAAAGAAAGAAACGACAATAAAAATGGCTTTCGACTAAAAATAGAAAGAATACAAACCATCCCTTGTGGGGATCGAACCCACGACCTTTGGATTAGAAGTCCAACGCGCTATCCGCTGCGCCAAAGGGACTACGCTTGGGAACATCAAGAAAGAAACGACAATAAAAATCGCTTTCGACTAAAAATAGAAAGAATACAAACCATCCCTTGTGGGGATCGAACCCACGACCTTTGGATTAGAAGTCCAACGCGCTATCCGCTGCGCCAAAGGGACTACGCTTGGGAACATCAAGAAAGAAACGACAATAAAAATCGCTTTCGACTAAAAATAGAAAGAATACAAACCATCCCTTGTGGGGATCGAACCCACGACCTTTGGATTAGAAGTCCAACGCGCTATCCGCTGCGCCAAAGGGACTACGCTTGGGCGATATAAGAAAGAAACGACTAAAAATAGAAAGAATACAAACCATCCCTTGTGGGGATCGAACCCACGACCTTTGGATTAGAAGTCCAACGCGCTATCCGCTGCGCCAAAGGGACTACGCTTGGAACATCAAGAAAGAAACGACAATAAAAATCGCTTTCGACTAAAAATAGAAAGAATACAAACCATCCTTGTGGGGATCGAACCCACGACCTTTGGATTAGAAGTCCAACGCGCTATCCGCTGCGCCAAAGGGACTACGCTTGGGCGATATCAAGAAAGAAACGACAATAAAAATGGCTTTCGACTAAAAATAGAAAGAATACAAACCATCCCTTGTGGGGATCGAACCCACGACCTTTGGATTAGAAGTCCAACGCGCTATCCGCTGCGCCAAAGGGACTACGCTTGGGAACATCAAGAAAGAAACGACAATAAAAATCGCTTTCGACTAAAATAGAAAGAATACAAACCATCCCTTGTGGGGATCGAACCCACGACCTTTGGATTAGAAGTCCAACGCGCTATCCGCTGCGCCAAAGGGACTACGCTTGGCGATATAAAGAAAGAAACGACAATAAAAATGGCTTTCGACTAAAATAAAAGAATACAACAACCATCCCTTGTGGGGATCGAACCCACGACCTTTGGATTAGAAGTCCAACGCGCTATCCGCTGCGCCAAAGGGACTACGCTTGGGAACATCAAGAAAGAAACGACAATAAAAATCGCTTTCGACTAAAAATAGAAAGAATACAAACCATCCCTTGTGGGGATCGAACCCACGACCTTTGGATTAGAAGTCCAACGCGCTATCCGCTGCGCCAAAGGGACTACGCTTGGAACATCAAGAAAGAAACGACAATAAAATCGCTTTCGACTAAAAATAGAAAGAATACAAACCATCCCTTGTGGGATCGAACCCACGACCTTTGGATTAGAAGTCCAACGCGCTATCCGCTGCGCCAAAGGGACTACGCTTGGGCGCATCAAGAAAGAACGACAATAAAAATGGCTTTCGACTAAAAATAGAAAGAATACAAACCATCCCTTGTGGGATCGAACCCACGACCTTTGGATTAGAAGTCCAACGCGCTATCCGCTGCGCCAAAGGGACTACGCTTGGGAACATCAAGAAAGAAACGACAATAAAATCGCTTTCGACTAAAAATAGAAGAATACAAACCATCCTTGTGGGGATCGAACCCACGACCTTTGGATTAGAAGTCCAACGCGCTATCCGCTGCGCCAAAGGGACTACGCTTGGGCGATCAAAAAAAGAAACGACAATAAAAATGGCTTTCGACTAAAAATAGAAAGAATACAAACCATCCTTGTGGGGATCGAACCCGACCTTTGGATTAGAAGTCCAACGCGCTATCCGCTGCGCCAAAGGGACTACGCTTGGGAACATCAAGAAAGAAACGACAATAAAAATGGCTTTCGACTAAAAATAGAAAGAATACAAACCATCCCTTGTGGGGATCGAACCCACGACCTTTGGATTAGAAGTCCAACGCGCTATCCGCTGCGCCAAAGGGACTACGCTTGGGAACATCAAGAAAGAAACGACAATAAAAATCGCTTTCGACTAAAAATAGAAAGAATACAAACCATCCCTTGTGGGGATCGAACCCACGACCTTTGGATTAGAAGTCCAACGCGCTATCCGCTGCGCCAAAGGGACTACGCTTGGGAACATCAAGAAAGAAACGACAATAAAAAGGCTTTCGACTAAAAATAGAAAGAATACAAACCATCCCTTGTGGGGATCGAACCCACGACCTTTGGATTAGAAGTCCAACGCGCTATCCGCTGCGCCAAAGGGACTACGCTTGGGCGATATCAAGAAAGAAACGACAATAAAAATCGCTTTCGACTAAAATAGAAAGAATACAAACCATCCCTTGTGGGATCGAACCCACGACCTTTGGATTAGAAGTCCAACGCGCTATCCGCTGCGCCAAAGGGACTACGCTTGGGAACATCAAGAAAGAAACGACAATAAAAATCGCTTTCGACTAAAAATAGAAAGAATACAAACCATCCCTTGTGGGGATCGAACCCACGACCTTTGGATTAGAAGTCCAACGCGCTATCCGCTGCGCCAAAGGGACTACGCTTGGGCGATATAAAGAAAGAAACGACAATAAAAATGGCTTTCGACTAAAAATAGAAAGAATACAAACCATCCCTTGTGGGGATCGAACCCACGACCTTTGGATTAGAAGTCCAACGCGCTATCCGCTGCGCCAAAGGGACTACGCTTGGGAACATCAAGAAAGAAACGACAATAAAAATCGCTTTCGACTAAAAATAGAAAGAATACAAACCCCTTGTGGGGATCGAACCCACGACCTTTGGATTAGAAGTCCAACGCGCTATCCGCTGCGCCAAGGGACTACGCTTGGGAACATCAAGAAAAACGACAATAAAAATCGCTTTCGACTAAAAATAGAAAGAATACAAACCATCCCTTGTGGGGATCGAACCCACGACCTTTGGATTAGAAGTCCAACGCGCTATCCGCTGCGCCAAAGGGACTACGCTTGGGATATACAGAAAGAAACGACAATAAAAATCGCTTTCGACTAAAAATAGAAAGAATACAAACCATCCCTTGTGGGGATCGAACCCACGACCTTTGGATTAGAAGTCCAACGCGCTATCCGCTGCGCCAAAGGGACTACGCTTGGGAACATCAAGAAAGAAACGACAATAAAATCGCTTTCGACTAAAAATAGAAAGAATACAAACCATCCCTTGTGGGGATCGAACCCACGACCTTTGGATTAGAAGTCCAACGCGCTATCCGCTGCGCCAAAGGGACTACGCTGGGCGATATAAGAAAGAAACGACAATAAAAATCGCTTTCGACTAAAAATAGAAAGAATACAAACCATCCCTTGTGGGGATCGAACCCACGACCTTTGGATTAGAAGTCCAACGCGCTATCCGCTGCGCCAAAGGGACTACGCTTGGGAACATCAAGAAAGAAACGACAATAAAAATCGCTTTCGACTAAAAATAGAAAGAATACAAACCATCCCTTGTGGGGATCGAACCCACGACCTTTGGATTAGAAGTCCAACGCGCTATCCGCTGCGCCAAAGGGACTACGCTTGGGAACATCAAGAAAGAAACGACAATAAAAATCGCTTTCGACTAAAAATAGAAAGAATACAAACCATCCCTTGTGGGGATCGAACCCACGACCTTTGGATTAGAAGTCCAACGCGCTATCCGCTGCGCCAAAGGGACTACGCTTGGGCGATATAAAGAAAGAAACGACAATAAAAATCGCTTTCGACTAAAAATAGAAAGAATACAAACCATCCCTTGTGGGGATCGAACCCACGACCTTTGATTAGAAGTCCAACGCGCTATCCGCTGCGCCAAAGGGACTACGCTTGGGAACATCAAGAAAGAAACGACAATAAAAATCGCTTTCGACTAAAAATAGAAAAATACAAACCATCCCTTGTGGGGATCGAACCCACGACCTTTGGATTAGAAGTCCAACGCGCTATCCGCTGCGCCAAAGGGACTACGCTTGGGCGATATAAAGAAAGAAACGACAATAAAATGGCTTTCGACTAAAAATAGAAAGAATACAAACCATCCCTTGTGGGGATCGAACCACGACCTTTGGATTAGAAGTCCAACGCGCTATCCGCTGCGCCAAAGGGACTACGCTTGGGAACATCAAGAAAAAAAACGACAATAAAATCGCTTTCGACTAAAAATAGAAAGAATACAAACCATCCCTTGTGGGGATCGAACCCACGACCTTTGGATTAGAAGTCCAACGCGCTATCCGCTGCGCCAAAGGGACTACGCTTGGGAACATCAAGAAAGAAACGACAATAAAAAT